GCCTTGATTTTTGGGAACTTGCCAAATATTCTTTTAATTGAGGATATGTTGCCATATGAAATCAATGATGTTCTTTCAATAAATCTCTAAAGATTTTCAGTGATTATTGACAGGCCATTTATCTGAGGATGAAGCATCCGTGCTGTGAACAAAACTAGTGCTTTAGAAATTTGCTGCCTATGCTAAATTATGCACAAACAGAGCCTGATGCTACTGAAGCATCCTATTCCTGGCAACCATGTCAGTGACATCTGGCATCTGATCTACTTTCCAGGAAGCCCAGATGGGTTGTTCCAATCTGACAACAAAAATCAAGACCAAAAAGATAGGGTTTAAGAATGGACCAGAGCTTTACAAACAGTTGCAACTTTACTATCATATGATGTGACAAGCAGACATAGCTGGCATGAGTTTGGAACTGCAGCCTGGAAAATTTCTCATTATTTGCCAGAAATTGCAGCATCGGAGTCCCTGGAACATTTGTTATCTTCTGTAAGTTCTCCACCTTGAGAAATGAAAATTACCAATCAAGGTCCCTATATGATTGCATGGGACTTTGTAGGTCACAGTAATTTCTCAGAATGGAAAGGAACCACAGGGAGCAGAACAGTTACTCTCACATTCCTTAACAGCAGTACAAGCGTGTTTCTTTATGTGAGAAACAGAAGAGCACACTTGGATCAGAACAAAACCTGTCAAATCCTCTTTATTTTGCCATTGCAATTCAGGATCTGAGGAAGACATCCTGACTTATAAATTTTCTGGAGAGACGTGACCTCCTTTTTCATCTGTTATTGAAATAAACTATTCTTTAAACCAAGGATCTTCAAACTTGGAAAGTTTAAGACTTGTGGACTTCAACTCCCAGAATTCCTGAGCTAACATGACTGGAGGAGGAATTCTAGGGCTTGAAGTCCCCAAGTCTTAAAGCTATTAAGTTTGAAGATCCCTGATCTAGAAGATCATGTGAAAACCAAAGGCTGCTGTGATGTGGTTTGGTTACCAGCAGATCAGGGAGACAAGGGAGGGAGGGCCATTTCAGGCATACCACAAGCTGCCCCGTTGTTGATCCCTCTCCTTCCTCTTTTCCCAGCCCTCCAAGGTGGCCAAGCCTAAGAGATGTCCCCATCATGAAGTTCTCAAGGTTGATGTCCCACAAGGGGGAGAAGGTGACTTCAACTCCTGGGAGAGGACTGGATAACTTACTCTTCACCATGGCATGGAGAAGACCTGGCTGAAGACAGAGAGAGCCAAGGTTCCTCTTGTGTCAAAGTTGTGTGTAAGAAACTTTTTCTGGAATCTCATCCTACTTCTAGATCAGAGATCCCCAAACTTGGCAACCTTAAAACTTGTGGACTTCAACCAGAGGTGGTATTCTGGAGAACCGGTAGCGGAAATTTTGAGTAGTTTGGAGAACCGGCAAATACCCCCTCTGACTGGAGATTTTACAGTATCCTTCCCCTGCCATGCCCACCAAGCCACGCCCACAGAACTGGTAGTAAAAAAAATTGAATCCCACTACTAACTTCAACTCCCAGAATTTGCCAGCCAGCATAGCTGGCGGGAGAATTCTGGGAGTTGAGGTCCACAAGTCTTAAAGCTGCCAAGTTTGGGGACCCCTGCTTTAAACTATTCTTGTTTTAAGACCTAGTCAATCTTTTCAGTGTTCTACCCTAGTCATGAAGTTAGTCATTTAAGATGCCTTCTCCTTTTTGTTCCTCACCCCAAGGTAACCCAAATATTATCCCTAAGGGAGATAATATTTCCCCATAACTAAAATAAAGCTGGGACCACCCATAGTAGTTCTGTGCAGGAGTTTGCCTCAAAAAATATTTCTCTTTTGGCTCAATTCCATGCCTTCTTCTGTATATGAACTGACTTCATCCTTGGTATATCCTTCCTGATCTTCTTAAAGCCCCTGTTCTGGAGAGCAACAAAAGAGAGAAAAGGAGGGTAGGATGATGTGAACTTTTCTGAAGTGTGAAGGAAAAGGAATGTGGATACGAATGTGTATCAAATTGGTAGATGAAGATCCCGATAGTGAATCCTATTATTATTCTGTATCCGACAGCTAACAATTAAATGCAGCCAAATCTGAAAACTAGTTCTTCCACTTGTAATGCTGTTTTTGGCTAGCTTGCAGATTTATATATTTATAAATAACACAGATGAGCCATCCAAAAGCTAGTCATTCTCAGGGTGATATATGGTAAAATAATTATATCAAATAAGCGTAGTCCTCCCCACCGCTTGAGTGGGTTGGTCAAATACCAGAACCTTTAAAAGAAAAGGGGGGAAAAAATCCCGGAACTCACATTCTATCTTTCTTAAGCCTACCAATATCAATTTTGTCTTTTGTTTTCATCTGAGGCTTCCTAGGTGAAAATTTGTTAACACTGTGAACCCACGCTTGCAAGACGGATAGGGCATCATAAATGCTGTTAATGAAAAGACTTCTTCTGTCATATCATCTATCACCTGGCCCCCATGATAAGATTGCTCTTTGCTTTGTAGTGGTGCCGCAGTCTAATTCAAATATTTCAAGCCATTAGTGTTCATTTCTGTGCTTTCCTTGAACAAACATCTTGCTCCACGAAGAATATCTTGACAGATTGAAGAGCACCAAGCAAACTAAATGCTAAAGCTTTCAACATTTAGCAGGCTCAGGGTTTTGACTGCAGAGATCAATTTTAGGAAGGCTACAAAGGAGCAAACTCCAATTGAAATCAATCATGTTTGCTATAGAGTCATCACACCTCCACAATATCCGCAACACTTCTGAAGCTAATAGACATTTTTTCAGATGCAATGTGGAAGGGATTACAACCATTAAGGGTTTGCTTCAGAGTAGGATCAGCTTTATCAATCCTTCTCTACATACAATTTAAATGAGAATGGTCCCTTGTAACCTGTGTCTTTTTTGTGGCTTTCAGAACCCGTCAAATTTTTACCACCAAATTCAAGAATTAACAGCAGCAACAACAACTAATAGCAATGATGCACATTTTCATTGATTTGCAGCTCCACTAGTGACTTAATTATGTAATTGCTCTGCCCATTGCAAGTCACAAGTGTCAAAAAATAAAGCTCAGCCCCTTGTATCATGACTTAGAGGGTGCTCAAAAGAATGAAGATAAATCTACAGGAGAAACTGACACCAGTAAATGCTCAGAACCAAAGTCTAATACCAGCAGAAAGGAAGGAATAAGAATTGCTCCAGTCGAAAAGGCCTACTCTGAATATCTTATGCCCAAGAGTTTTGGCTGGCAGAATTCAGGAAAGGGGACTTTTCTGTGATGGCCCCGCCCAGCCCTTTGTAATATTTTCCTGCCAGTGGTGAGGTTGGCCCTCATATTCCTGGCCTTCCCAAAGAGCCTGAAACCTGGACCTGCCAGGTAGCCTGGGCCCCTGATAGGGACCCTTTATGCTGGGGGTGACTAATGGGGTAGAAAGAAGATCCCCACCTCAACTCATCTTTCCTCTTAGTTTTTAGTCTTTATTTAATCTTTCTAATTTTAATTGTTTTGTATTCTCTTTTTAAAAACCATGTTATCATTTTGTAAGTCATCTAGCATCACTGCAACAGTGAAGTGGGCAGCATATAAATTTAGCACATAGCCTTTTCTAAGTGTAATGCCTCCAGTGTAAGCTCCTTTTAATCAATCTTTAACCCCACACAATATCGCATTGCCAAGTGAATAATGAAGACAGCTGA